AAACTCTGGGAGTTGGTGATGGACAGGGAGGCCTGGCATGCTGCGATTCATGGGGTTGCAAAGAGTCGGACACGACTGAATGACTGAACTGAACTGAAATGAACTCTTCAGAAGGAAAGTTATGACCAACCTAGACAGCATGTAAAAACGCAGAGACATTACTTTGTCAACAAAGGTCCCTCTAGTCAAGGCTATGGTTTTTCCAGTCGTCATGTATGGATGTGAGAGTTGGACTATAAAGAAAGCTGAGTGCCGAAGAATTGATGCTTTTGAACTGTGGTGTTGGAGAAGACTCTTGAGAGTCCCTTGGACTGCAAGGAGATCCAACCAGTCCATCCTAAGGGAGATCAGTCCTGGGTATTCATTGGAAGGACTGATGTTGAAGCTGAAACTCCAATACTTTGGCTACCTGATGTGAAGAACTGACTCATTTGAAAAGACCCTGATGTTGGGAAAGATTGAGGGCAGTAGGAGAAGGGGACGACAGAGGATGAGATGGTTGAATGGTATCACCGACTCAATCAATGGACATGGGTTTGGGTGGACTCCAGGAGTTGGTGATGGACAGGAAGGCCTGGCGTGCTGCGGTTCATGGGGTCTCAAAGAGTTGGACACGACTGAGTGACTGAACTGAACTGAACTGAACTGATGTAACCTTATGCCTGCCTAGCCAGAAGGTTGTAACATTTTACCAGTTATGCCACTCTTTTTGTGGGCCATGCTGACAGTAGCCTGACAATACTCTAGACCCTGGGAAACAGAGATAAAACCTAGTCCTATCCTTCCAAGTCTTCTATGGTAATGCAAAATACACATTTCATTATTTCAGAAGTAGGCTGGAGGGTTCCGGACACGTGCCTATGTGGCAATCCTGCAATTTACACTTCACAACATGAGGTGTTTCCATAGAAACAACATTCCCACTGGGGTAGCTTCTTCCATCCACTCCCTTCCTCCTGGTCCAAGACTTAATAGGAGTACTGGTCCCTATGGAAGAACCCAAAGACAGCAGAGGTACTTAGTGTCCCTGAGAAAAGGTCCAGCTCCTCAAGTCACCCACCTAAGAAGCAGAAAATGGCAAATGCCACTGGGACAAAGAGGGGACCTCTGATGAGCCTGCTCAGGTCATCTCCTGAGTTGCCTATCAATAACCAGAGGGACGTTTAAAGGACTGGAGGCTCTGCCATTGTGCTAAAGGACAGAGTGGGAGATAAGCTATCTGTGGCCACAAACAACAATTTTATCCTTTCAAGATAATGAAGTCAGGGGTTACATATCTGTTATTTTGCTTAATCTTCACACACAATCCCTGTTTAGCAGATGACAGAATGACTTGAGAAATTTACAACAAACTTGCCCATGCTCCTACAGTTTGCCAGTGATAGGGCCTAGGTTTACTCTTGTGCTATTTGACCCCAGTCCCCATGCTCCCAATGACAACATGGGCCACTTCTCCCCACCATCATCCAAGACCTCCTGCCCCATGTCCTCCCCTCAGCACACAGAAACTGGTCACACTGAGCAAAGCTGCAGTTACTTTATTAGAGTCAATCTGATAAAGACCACATCAGGGGGGACAGGTGTCTAGATTCCAACTTCAGTTGAGAGGGAAAAAGTTCAGGAAGATCAAGTGTAGATGAGGCATCGCTGGCAAAGACTATGTCAACAAAGAGAGCACACTGAATATAGCTCAAAAAATGGAATTCACCACCGAGGAGACTGAATGTTTGATGCAATCCGTACTCAAGTTGATGGAAGCCTGGAAGGGAGTAGGAGGAGGAGGGTCAGGATCCGAGCCCACAGCCAGGCTACTCTGTCTCCCCAGGATCATGTCACCCCTCACCCTCAGGGATTCAGCCCCATCCCCAGCAAGAACCTCTGCCCACAAACCCACCACTGGAGGGGGGGGCTGCCATCAGGCACCAGGGGGAGGATGGGTCCCTAATAGCCCAGGCACAGGCGTCAGGAGGGAGAGAGAGCCACCAGCCACACCAGGGAGGGGAGGAGATGACAAGGGTCAGCAGGGCACAGCCAGGGTTGGTCCTGAGGGAGGAGCAAAGTGCTGGTGTCTGGGTTTGGGTCACATATTCTGCACCTGAGACTCTTCTGTCAGGTGTGCTGGGTGGATGAAATGTACATGCAGGTGTTGTAAACAATCCCATGTCCCCTGTGACCTCCTATAGTGCATGAAACTTTGGTTCTTGAAAATTTCTCATTTTGAACAATAACAATTTGAGAAAAATATGCTGAGACAGACTACTCACAATCTCCAATACTGTATGGCAATAACAAGAAAGAAGAGATAGGCCATTAGGAGATATACTGCTAGCCCAAGTGAGCAGCCACAGGTACCTAGAAGCCTCCTTAGGAGCCTCAGTCACCAAAACACCACAGTGGAAAATCAGGCTTGTAAACACTGAGACCATGTCAGTGGAAATGGGGGTCTGAGCCAGAGCAATGGCCAATAGAGTGGGTATAAGATGAAGTGAATTTGCAATAAGTCATAAACCTTACAAACCCAGAGAATCTCATCCTGGAAAAAGACTCTTAAGGCAGGGGCTCCTTTTCAATATTCCTTAAATAGAGCTGACATGACTCCTACACATGTGTATGTTAAATGGTTGGTTTCCTGCCAAAGATTAAAATTATAGTCCTCCAATGCTAGCATCTCTCACGCTAGGGGAAAAAAAAAAATTTAACGAGTCAACACACTTGGCGTATTGCATTGATATCAGTCTCCTACTCGGTGTGAGAATTGGCACGATATGAACAGGTTTGGTAATGGGACGCTGGATGTGCAGGTGGATTGTGCTTGCATATTATAGGTGATACACGCTGGAGCAAATGTTTTACTGTGCTTCTTTGTTCATAGCTCTTCTCTGTCAAATATCCCATGATAGCATGATCTATTACCATGTGGCACATTACACTATGTCATATGTGAATTCTCAGGGTGGGGGTTAAGGAGGGGTAAATTACCATGAGTAGCAGATCCAAAAACTTGTCAGTTAATCCCGCCTCATTGTAGCAATCCTGGATTTTTCCTAGAGCTGCTTTTTCCTCATCAGTAGCATGGACAAGATCAAGCGTTGTATTCAACAATGTTTCACTTCCAAAGCTCACTGTGCCAAACACTCCATAAAACAGAAGGCATGCTTCCGCTGAAGACACAACAGAAAACACCTCATCAACGGGATCACCATGTCAGAAGGTTCCTGTTTTCCCACCACTTGATAGGAACTCACACATCCAAAACTTCCAGACTCACCTCCCCAGAGACCTGCCCTCTCCCTGGACCACTTACATCCCAGACAGAAAACCTTCACTATGAGGCACTCCCAGCATAGGGAGCAGCAAGAAGGGCTGGGCCTGGAGACCCCTCTACTCTTGACCACTGCCCTTAAGAACATCAGCCTACTTCTCTTTTCCATTAAGCACGACTAACCTGAAGGAACTATCCCCAAGGGTGTGCACAGCTAATGACCCCTCCTGCTCCACACCATCCCCTCTACAAAGAATGAAACCCTAAGGCAGTTGGTGCAGGACTCCTGGGCACTGATCAGCCAGCTGCCCTCTGAATCTGACCCTAGAAGTGGCTTGGACAGGACTGGGAAGGATACAGTGAGACGGCATCAGGCAAGGATTAGAAGGGTCACTCAGTCCTCCTTCCTACCCTCACTCATCTCAAAGATCAGCTCTCTGGTCACCAGCAAGGTCAGCACAAGCACTGCTCCCTTCATCGTGGCAGCGGCTGGAGTGCTCTGCTCAGGGCAGGGTATCTATCACTTTATAAACCACTAGTCCCCAAGCCCAACCCACATCCCTCCCAGGAGGACCAAAGGCCTGTGGCCAGGCACCTGGCACAGGTGGCTCCTTGGGCCTTGGGGTGTTTACTGTGGGAAGCCTTTCCTACTCTGAAAGCAGAGCTCCTGGAGAAAATGTGGAAGTATCCTTGCCAAAGATCAAGTGGAGTTAACATTTCTAAGTGACTCCATTTGGAGTCAAGTGCTCTGTTGTCCCAGCCCCAACCATCACCTGTTTTCCTGGCAACCTTCCCCCAACCTATCCTGGCTCTGAGGTCAGCACTCTCCCAGACTGAGCAGATGGAATCACAGAAGGGCAATGGACAGATCTACACTACACTCAGGAAGAAAAAAGGTCATTAAGAATCCTTCCTTTTTCCCCCAAGTTTAAGTTCTGGAGATAAGAATGTGGAGCCGGGCCCTACTGAAGCCCCCAAATATCTAAATGGCTGAGGACTGGTGGACAGTAGCCCTGGGCTCCAAATCATTCCAACCTGGGGGCTCGCAGGACTTGAGACCATGTGGGTTTTATCAGGCACTGGTAATTCTGTAGTTTCAGATCAGACCACCAGCTTTCCTCAGGCCCTTAAGGGAACAAGTTCCTGAGCAGGCTCCAGCCTTGTCCCTTCTCCTGGCTGTCCTTCCTCCTTTATCAGTGAGCCTGGTCTCAAGAGGTGCTTGCACTGCATAGTCTATCCAGGAACATCAGGGAGCCTCTGTGGGGTTTGGGAGTCTGCTCCTGGGGCAAAGACTCTGAGCTCTACAGCCCTAAAGGACACTGGGGACGGGAGTTCTAAGGCCCAGAGAGCTGAGTCTACCAGAGGTGGCACTCCGTGTGTAAAAACTCTCTCAAAAGTCAAACTCAACCTTTCAGGCTAGGAAAGCAGTTTGTTGGCTCAAATGAGATGAGATGGTCCTTAAAAACTCTTGAAGGAAGTCTGAGACAGCTCCCAACAGCCAAACTAGAAACAGTTTGAGAAACAAAATAAATAACAGCGTATTAGATGATAACTCAAAGCATAAGTTAATACCTCTGAGTCCATACTGACATAAATAAATGATCAAATAAACAGAGACTCTCCTGGTGGTCCAGAGTTAAGAACCCACCATTCAATGCAGTGGACATTCGTTCAAGCCCTGGTCAGGGAACTAAGAACTCACATGCCCTTGGACAAATAAAACCCTCACACACCAACTAGATAGAACATGCTCTGAAAACAGAAAGTCCTTGTGCCGAAACATAGAGCCAACACAGCAAGACAAAGACCCGGTGCCCCTAAACTAACCTGAAATAATGTGGGAGAGGAGACAACCATTCCTTACAGAAACATCCCGAATAACAGACAGAAATCATCTGCTCCAGGAGGGTTAACTGACAGCCCTTCCCCTCCCAAGTGTGGGCTAGACAGAGTAACCTATTTTCAAAGAGAAGAGATGGGGAAGGGGAAAACAGTGCAGAAACCTGGCAAACAAAACATAATCAACTAATCAAGGCTGATATCCCCAGTGGTAAGACACACAGCTGTCATGTGTACCCCAAGTGAGGAGACAGGAAGGGCGATTCACCTGTGTGGTGTCTTCCTCAAAACCCAAAGTCTGAACCACACTCGACATTATGAGTACAGCAGCCAAACTCAGCTTTTGGCAGTCCTTAGCATCCCTGATCAATCCCCTCAAGACTGTGAAGGCCATGACAGACCAGGAGAGAATGAGTAATCCACAGAGCAGAGGACAGTGGGGACACAGGACAATGAATGCAGCATGTGTAGGTTATGGACTGGATGCTGGGACCCAAAGAGACATTAATGGACAACCTGGTAAAATCCAAATAGTGGGTGAGGTTTAGTTAGTTGGAAAAGACCCTGATGCTGGGACGGATTGGGAGCAGGAGGAGAAGGGGACGACAGAGGATGAGATGGTTGGATGGCATCACCGACTCGATGGACATGGGTTTGAGTAAACTCCGGGAGTTGGTGATGGACAGGGAGGCCTGGCATGCTGCGATTCATGGGGTCGCAAAGAGTCGGGACACAACTGAGTGACTGAACTGAACTGAACTGAATGCTCCAATGTTGTTTCTCACTGTGAGAAATATTTGCAAATTTTCTATAAATCTACAATAATTCCAAATTAAAATTTTATTTAAAAAACAACATGCATTAGAAAAGGGCTACAGGCACTGCATTCCTCCATTGACCTTGCCCAGCTCTTCACCCTGATGTCACCAAAAGTCCCCATGATCCTGAGATGTCTCAGAGGAACCTGTAGCACCCTCAGAAGGGCATTGGGCTGAATCCATTGCAGCCACCTCTGTTACTCGGCACTCCAGGCCCTGACTCCTCACCTCACAGAGCTGTGGAGGGCATTAGGGACAGTGTCTTCTGAAGGACAGGAGGCATGGGATCCATCGGCAGGGGTCTCACCACACAGAAGTCCTGCTGCCACAGACAAAGAGCCAGCATGTGCAGCCTGGGCCTTGTGGTGTTCACCTTCCCACCCTGGAACCTCTGAGACACATCTGCAGCCCCCTGAGCCCCTCGCTCAGTGACTTTCACAAGGGTGGACCCCAGGCAACAGAAGTCATGGTGAGGACGGGCTCCACTAGGTCAACTATCACTGCAGCTCAGTACTTGGTCCCTCTTTGCCAACAGCAGTTACCGGATGTGAAACCTATATGCCAAAATGTTCTGTCTGTGGTCACACACCTTGCAACCCAACTTCAGTTCAGGTTTTCAGCAAACTGGATTCCACCACAGGTGGCTCAGAGAAAGGTCAGCCAGGTGCCTCAAGCAAGAAAATACTTGATTCTGATTTACCAAACATTTTAAAACTTCACCTTATTTATTTAATCCCAGGAAATATTCATAAGCACATCTATAGTAAATAGAACTAAAAAATATTCTTGTTTATTGACTCCAGAGAAATGGAATATTCCTGCCATTATTCTAACAAATATTGTGAAACATCTAGCGAATGCTGGGCCCTCTCCTAGTCCTTGGATGCAGCAGCACACAGCACAGCTCTTGCTCTCCTGCAGCTTTTCATCACCTAAGAGGGAGTGAAAGACAGTGACCCCACGGGAAGAAATGCTCTGGGTGAAGATGAAGCAGGGGGAGAAGACAGACGGCCATGGGGGGAGGAGACGGACTGTTTTGATATTAGAACTCAATAGTTGGGGAAATCTGTGCTGTGTGATACCTGAAGACACCTGAGGATGAGGGAATGAATCAAGCAGCCACTGGAGGAAGAGCCTCCAGGCCAGGAGGGCTCCACGTGCAGAGGCCCTGCTGCAGGAGCACACTTGGTCAGGTCAAGAGCAGACAGGAGGCACTGAGGGAGGAGAGAGAGGCAGGGGTAAGTCCACAGAGGCGGCAGCAGTGCGGGGCTGGTTGTGCAACTGGCCCAGAGACTGTGGCCTAGAAGGGGCTTGGCTTTTCCTCAAGTGGGAGCTCTGGAGAGGAGATGGGGGGAACAGAACACTCAAGAGTAGAAACAGGCTTCAGAAAATGGATAGACCTAGAGACTGTCATAAGTAAGTGAAGTAAGTCAGACAGAGAAGCAGAAACATCCTATGACATCTTTTTATATGTGGAATCTAAAAAGACACACTATAAATGAATTAATTTAGAAAACAGAAACTGACTCACAGATTTAGAGAATGACCTATGGTTGACCAGGGCAAGGATGGGGAGAAGAGATAGTTAGAAAGTTCAGTATGAACAGGTCCATACTGCTATATTTATAATGCACAACCTACAAGGAACAACTGTATAGCACAGGGAAATCTGCTAAATGTTTTGTAAGAGCCTAGATGAAGGGAGTTTGTGAAAGAATGGATACATGTGTATATATAAGCTGAAGCCCTTTGTTGTCCACCAGAAACTATCATAAAATTGTTAATGGGCTATATTCAATACAAAAGGAAAAGTGAAAGAAAAAAGAAGCTACAGAAATATTTCTGTGTAGAATGAGGTCCTATCAAAGTCACCAGGTGGCAGGACTGGTCAAGAGAAAACTAGAAACTTCTGGGCCAGCACATATAAGAGATTTCAGGGCTCCAGAAACTGATTCCGGTAGGTGGCCTAACAAGCCACTGACAAGATGCAGGACACAGTGATAACAGCAGGGCAGAGCAGGTGCCACCAGAGAGCCTGACCAGGGCCTCAAGGCTTGTGCTCTGGCCTGCCTGGCACTTTCTCCTGTGAGACCATTCCTAAGCATGGAGCTTCCCGAAAACCCATAAAGCCCACACCAGCCTGTCTTCAAGGTCATGTGTTGTTCTAGGAAGCTGTCACTGGCCAGCATTCAGGAGGCCTGGTTGGGGAGCATTTTTGCCCTTTTTGGTCAACCTGGGGATTTTCAGTTGCTAAGCTTCCTGAGTCAGCTGCCCCTCCCACAGCCCTCCAGGGGGAGGAGGCTGAGCCAGTTTCCTCTGTGGACTCAAGGACTAGCATCTTGCCAACACACACAGCTCCTCCTGTGCAGTCCTGGGCAACATCACACTGTGGCCTGGCAGAATCCACTGAAAAAAGGAAGCATATGACACAGGGCCCCTGGGAATGAGGACAAACAGAGGTATAAAAGGGCTCCAGGTGAGCAGGGAGCATCTGCCACCGGCACCATGACGCAGGCTTGAGCTCTCCTGCTGCTCTGCGCTGCCTTGCTCCTCATTGCAGGCGGAAGTGAGTGGCTGGAACCTGGGCTCCCCAAGCTTTCTGACACCTTCCCAGGGCAGCACTGAGCATGTCAGGAGCCGGAAGGGAATAGGATGTTTTGATGAATGCCTTACAGGGAGGGTCCCCTTATCTTTCTGTTTCAGAGTGTGATGACCTCTGCCAAGCCTTGAGGGACACTATTGACCTGTTCATATCAGGAAGCCATGAGGCATATATTAAACAAGTTGAAAAGTATAACCAAAACTGATGTACTGGAAACTGCCAATACACTCAAGAGCTGTAATGATGAGAAGTTGACACCACAGGATAAGCAGGATGCTCTCAGTGCTCTGGTGGGTCAGGCTATCTGTGAATGTGCCTGTGGGGCCTGTGTGTGGGCAGCGGTTTCAGTGGTCAGCTCAGGGCACTGGGAAGTGGGAGGGATTATTTCCTCTCCACCCTGGTCCTTCCCTGGGAAGCTGGGGGCAAAAAGATCCTCATGAATGAGGAGGTGGAGAGGATGTGGCCGACACCCACAGTGTGGGAAAGGATCCTGCAGGAAAACTCAGTCCAGCCCTGGAGTTCTTGAGCTGGCCCTGACTGCTCAGCTCTGCCTGGTTACAGGCCTCAGGCTCTCCTGACTCTGTGGCGCTGCCTGCCTTTGGAGTTAGGCCCTCAGCACTGGCCTCCCTGACTCCAGCCTCTCCAGCACAGGAACCTGACTCTGCTGCAATCCATTCCTATTGAGACTTTCATTTCTCCAAACATCAGTTCTTTCCCTTAGTGCCTTAACCCTACTAAACCCCATATTTCTCCTTGTTCCTTGGACATCAAATGGCCATTCCTGCCACACATCCCCCAAGAGATGGCTGCTTCCAAAAACTGCCCTCCTGCCCTCCCCAGGCCTGAGATGCCCAGAGTCAAGAGTCAGGATCAGTTCTTTCTCTGCTGCCCTAAAGGTGGTGAGAATAAGCTGCTGTTTCAGCTATAAGTGTCCAAGGGCCAGAGGGAGGAAGCAGACAGGGATCAGCTCATCCCTGGAGACTCCCGGGAGTCACTCCAGAGCCCTGCAAGGTGGTCCTCAGCAGTGTCCCCCATTCTACCCCAGAAGACTGCCCTCAGCCCTCCAGGGAGACCCCACAATCTCTGTTCCATTGGAGGAAAACTCCCTAGGACATATCTAATTTTACTTGTTCACATCCAGAAGCCTCCCTCCAAACAAGCCTGCAGGCCCCTCCCCTGTGTTCAGAGCAACCATATCTCGTCCACGCCTGAGGCCTCACAAAATTTCTGCACCTCCTCTTACA